ACCCGAAGAAGAGGGCGGAGAGAGTGGTGTCAGAGACGGACACAAAGACACAGAAGTGGAGGACTTGAGGACAGAGAGGACTCCAGTGATCGACATATCCCTCAAACCGATGCCTCTAATGATCGCCAGTTTGTCTGCTTTGAAGACAATTGTGGCAAACTATTCAAACGGAAATCACATCTCAATGAACACAAAAATGTCGTTCATTTGAATCTCAAACCAATCGGATGTGATGTCGAGGGTTGTGGTCAACGATTCACTTCGAAAACACATCTCAATCTACACAATAATGCTATTCATTTGAATCTCAAGAGTTTCAGATGTGATTCGATGGATGTGATAAACAGTTTGCTTATAAATCACAACTCAATCGACACAAAAATGTCATTCATTTAAAGCTCAAGAGATTTAGATGTGATGTCGAGGGTTGCGGTCAAAGATTTTTTGACAAAAGAGCTTTAGTTCGTCACAAACATTACATACATTCTGGTGATAAACCATATATTTGTGATGCCGAGTATTGTGGTAAAAGTTTCATTCAAAAGTCACACCTCATTGAACACAAACGCATTCATACGGGAGACAAACCATACGTTTGTGTTGTCGAGGATTGCAAACGAAGATTCAGACAGAAATGAAGTCTAAATGAACACAAAAATAGTGTTCACTTAAAGCTTAAGAAATTTGAGTGCAATGACGATAAATGCGGAAAAAAATTCGCTACAAAATCAAAATTAATTCAACACAAACGCATTCATACGGGAGAAAAGTCATACGTTTGTGATGTCGACGATTGCGGGCAAAGATTTAGACAAAAAGCAGATCTAAATGGACACAAACGTAACATTCATTTGAATGAAAGCAAATAATGTCTATTTTTCTGATAACATAATTAGATTCAATAAAAGTTGTTTAGTGTATTGTGTTTACGATAATTATTATAAAATTTAGACAAAATTTGTAATTAAATCAAATATGTTTTGAATGCAATATTGTATACAAATGAATGTCTATAAAAATTTTAAAATATTGTCTTAATTTATACTTATATGTTGTAAAAGTATTTAAAATCTCATACAATACCAAGTACTGTATAATTTGAAGTGATTTTATTTAATCAGTGTTTAACCATTTGCTTTAAATAAATATACTTAGATTTAGCTAGCTAACCATTCTAATCAGAAAAATTTATTAATTGAATTAAATAGGATATTACAATACGAAATTATAAGCAAGGATAACAAATAATATGTTGACAACTGTTTTTAAT